ACTCTCTTTGGGAAGAAGAAAAGACCCGTTGAGATGAAGATTATAATTTCAGCACAAACGAAACATTCAAGGCCCAGGCAACTCTTAAATTCAATACTAATAATACATGAAATAAATTATAAGCCTTCCATTTCTGTCAGTTCTTGTAGGTACTTGCTTGCCAATACAGAGACAAGTTTGCTTAATTCTAGGTGTATTTCTTAGTGCAGAACACATCCACTTTAAAGTTTATTCTGTTATTTGTTTACAAAGTTAATACTAAAAAAACTCAAGGTTTTTAAAAGATTCTTAGAATTTTCATGTTGGAAGGGATCTTAGAGGACATCTAGTTTAGTGCATGACTTTCCTACCATGGCCAGGCCAAACTGCATCCAGCGGCCTCTTCCTGCCCCCTGCTGGTCCCCTTCTTGTCTGCTATGCTTCAGATCACAGGTCTTCTTTGTTCCTTGAAATTGTCAAACTCTGTGGGTCTTTGTACTTCTGGAACGCTCTTCACCCGTCCCTGTTCCTGTGGCTTGTTTCTTTACATTAAACAGATTTTGCTCAAATCTCAACTCCTCAGACAGGCCTTTCCCAGGCCACCCTATCTAAAAGAGGGTCGTCTCTTCACCCCCCCCACCCCCCCCACCCCCCGTTACCGAAAGACTGTTTTCTTTCCTTTGTAATACTTGTCAGTGCCTGGAATGATCATGTTTGTTTGTTTACTGTCTCTCTCCCCTTATTAGGCTCCATGAGAGCAAGGGCCTTGTCTGTGTTGTTCACTGCTGTATCCTGAAGCGTCTAAAGTGGTCTGGCCCACTGCAGCTATGTGACAGATATTTATAAGAATGCATGAGTAAGATGGGCGCCTGGGTGGCTCAGTTGGTTAAGCGACTGCCTTCGGCTCAGGTCATGATCCTGGAGTCCCTGGATCGAGTCCCGCATCGGGCTCCCTGCTCCGCAGGGAGTCTGCTTCTCCCTCTGACCCTCCTCCCTCTCATGCTCTCTGTCTCTCATTCTCTCTGTCTCAAATAAATAAATAAAATCTTTAAAAAAAAAAAAGAAAAAAAAAAAGAATGCATGAGTAAGAGATTTATAAGAATGCATGAGTAACCATTGATGGTTCATTGATGTCCAGTCACTACTGAGCTGACATCTGTCTCCTTTTCACTTATACCTCTGATCTTAGTTCTTCCCCCTAAAGTAATTCAAGTCATCTGCTCTATTCCCTCTTTTTCAAAGAGTCTTCAGACATTTAGATGTCCGCCATCTCTCATCAAAGTCAAACTTGCCTAGTTTTCTTACCAGCTCCTTATCTGGTATAGTTTTAGAGTGTGGTCATCATCCAGGTTATCCATCACTGAGAGTTTTGGTCACTCAGATAACATGAAACTGTAATTCAAGTCTGTCCAAGGGCTGATTTATTTCTGGTTTCCTTTATCCTGGGAGTGTAGCTCTGAGGTTTCTGCTTTAAGTGAGTGGTGGCTTATCAAACTTCCTCCTTTGGCACTCTTGCCTTTGACTTTTGCTTCTGGGTTTTAAAGGTTTTAAGAGCTTTTTTCTCCCATTTTTTTTCTGGATCTTCAAGTGCCTGAGAGCTGAAACCATTTTGGGTGGTTCGGATTATATCTCTGGGTCCAATTCTTTTGCCTTGATTTCAACCAGCTAATTCTTTACAATCTTGTCTTTGGGGTTTTTAGGCTGTTTTAAAATATTTCCTCCAGTATTTGTATTTGTCCTCAAAGGGATTTCATCCAAGTTATTTAGTTAGTTGAAGCTAAAGTATCTGAGTTTTTAGGTCTTAAAAATTACTCAGTGTTATTCATATAAAATTGTAGTGAAATCTAATTTGGGATGCAGTTTTTTTCTCATTATGAATACTGGTAGTTAAAAGACTGCTCTTGACACCTATATTATGTATTTACCTCACGTTTGAATTCTGATTCCCAGTTTGCATTACTCAATTTTCATTTCCATATAGAGAATAGGTGGGACCAAATGTTCTTTATATATACTTAGGTACATAACTTTTGGGGGGCTGGGTCTTCTTAGTGGGAATGATTTAATTTTTATCTCAAGGTTCCTTTGAAATGAGCCATGCCATTATTGGCAGAGTGGGATATTTAAATACTTCCTGGGTGTTCTTCCAAATCAGCTATAGAAAATAAAAGAATAATTCATTTTCAGAAGCACTCTGAGCATCTTTTACCTGTAATGTGACTGACTTAGATCTTTGTATGGCTGGCTCCTTCTTGTTACTGATATGTTTCAACTCAAATACCACTTTTTTAGAGAGGTCTCTGAGAAATTTTGCCTTTATGAATGATGTTTATTGTATGAGTTTGTCAGATACTTTATCATGCTATAAACATTTAAAAGCATTTAATTATGGACATGCTGCTCTTTAGAAAGCTTGTATCAGTTTGTATTTCTACCATCAGCATGTGAAAAGGCACACTTTAAGTCAGTACTTTTCCATACCACATGGGTACTCTTATTTTTAAAAAGTTTCAAATTTCATAGGCAGCAAAGAATTTATTGGTTTTGATTTATTTTTTCCTTTTAAACCAATATTTTGTGTTGGTACAGCTGTTATTTTTCATAAAGATGGGATAGGTTTTTTTGAAACAAAATAACTTATTTTTAAATAATTTCAGATTTAGAGAAAAGTTGCATAGATAGTACGAAGAATTTCCTGTTTCATAGACCCTTGACCCAAATTCCCCAAATGTTAACATTTTAATCATTCTTTGTCTCTTCCTCCATACACATGTACTTATTATTTTTTTCCTGAATGGTTTAAGTTGCAGACTTTATCTCTAAAAATGTTGGTGTTCGTTCTTTTTTTGTTAATTTTTTTTTTTAAAGATTTTATTTATTTATTTGAGACAGATAGAATGAGAGACAGAGAGCATGAGAGGGAGGAGGGTCAGAGGGAGAAGCAGACTCCCTGCGGAGCAGGGAGCCCGATGCGGGACTCGATCCAGGGACTCCAGGATCATGACCTGAGCCGAAGGCAGTCGCTTAACCAACTGAGCCGCCCAGGCGCCCTTTTTGTTAAATTTTTTTATTAGACTGTCTTATTCTAGAGATTCTGGGCTGCACCTTATTAATTCATAATTGAACTATTATTGACATGAAACATACTAGTTTCAAGTGTACAACATAGTGATTCGATATTTGTATATATTGTGCAATGATCACAGTAAGTCTAGTTAACATTCATCACTACACAGTTACCAATTTTTATTCCTTGTGATGAGAACTTGAAAGATCTACTCTCTTAACAACTTTCAAATATATAATATTAACCACAGTCACATGTGGTACATCACTCAATAATTTTAGTAAAAAAAATATTTTTTCTTGTCCTGGTTTAATCCAGTCCAGGATCATACATTATATTTAGTTATTACATCTCCTAATCTTCTTTTGTGGAACAGTTACTTGGTTCCCTGTCCTTTATAACTTAGACTTTTTTTTTTTTTTTAAAGATTTTATTTATTTATTTGAGAGACAGAGTGAGAGAGAGAAAGAGCACAAGAGGGGGGAGCGGGAGAGGGAGAAGCAGACTCCCCGCTGAGCAGGTAGCCCGATGCGGGACTCGATCCTGGAACTCCAGAATCATGACCTGAGCCGAAGGCAGTCGCTTAACCAACTGAGCCACCCAGGTGCCCTAACTTAGACATTTTTAAAGAATACGGGACAGTTACTTAGTAGAATGTCCTTCAGTTTGGGCTTGTCTGTTTTACCTTTTTGGAAGGAATGCCACAGAAGTGACATTGTGTTGTATCCTATCAGAAGGCATATGATGTTGACTTGTTCTATTATTGACAATGTTAACTTTGATCACTTAATTAAGGTGGTGTCTGGCAGGATTCTTCACTATGAAATTACTATTTTTCCCCTTTTAATTAGTGGCTATTTTGTAGTGGAACTACTTTGAGACTAGATAATATCCTGTTTTCCATCAAACCTTAAACCACTAGTTTCAGCATATGTTGATGATACTTGCCTGAAATAATTATTACCAGGGTGGTTGCCAAATGGTGATTTTCTAATTCCATCACTACATTTATTATTTGGAATTATACTCTCAGAAAGAGCTTTTCCTTCTCCCCTCATTTATTTATGTAAGGACTGGTGTGTTTTTATTTTATTCTATGGTTTATAATCTACTATTTTCATTTATTTTGTTTAGTTGTTTCTCATTTGACCAGAAGAGATTCCTGTGTCCTTCAGACATGCTCCTGTCATTCTTTGAGCATTACCAGCCTTTCTGGCACCACAAAAGTATATGCTGGGCTCATATTGTACTTTTCCTTGCTCTTGCCTGGGAATCAGCCATTTCTCTGAGGAAGCTGTTTCCTTTTATTGGTGCACTGGCTGTCCTGGTGGGATGTTGGAGTGTCATTGCTTCTAGGCCTCCTCAGCAGACAGAGCTACGGAATATGTATATGTGTGTATGTATATTTACACACACATTTATATCTATTTCTGCATCTTTCTATTAAGAACTGAGCTCCTATGGTTAGCTCTAATTCCAAGCCTTCATCCTTTTCATATTTGTAACTTCTTTTTATGAGAATAAGAAGCCAAACTCTCATTATCCACAATGTATTTATTTGCTTATTTGCTCAGTCCTAGAACAAACATAATTTCATACCTCTGTGTAAAAACAAGTATATAAGTATAGTATTTGTTTATAAATAATTTTTTTTGTTTTTAGCTTGAGGAGAGTGTGTAGTTAAAACATTGTTTTCAAAAGTTACCTGGAGTTAATTCTTTTCCCCCTGACTCCCCCTCCCCGCTTCAATGTGGTTATGTTATTCATTTCAAATACAGTTAGGTACATTTGTTTTTGTTCCATTTTGGGTTCTTCTCTCTTGCTATTTTTTCTTTTTTTTTTTTTTTTTTAAGTATATGAAACATTAACATTTAAAAAAACTGTACAAAATAATAGGATAGATTATTAGAGTGCTGAATATAAAACTTAATGGCTTTTTTCTTTTCTCTTTCAGGGAATCATTTAATACTTCACATTAGAACAAATATGTGAAAGTCCCTGCCAACCTGTGAGAATTTCTTCCTTCGACATTTTGGTTCTACTTCACAACTTTCTTAGAAGTTCTTTCTTGATGCCATGTTCTGTGGCTTGCATCAAAAGAGGAGTTTGTCTTCATGAAGATTCCTAACATTGGTAATGTGATGAATAAATTTGAGATCCTTGGGGTTGTAGGTGAAGGTAAGTTTAGCATTCCTTGAGTTTCTGAGCAATGTATGTAGTTATACTTACCACTGAAAAGGTTACTAATTCAGATCCTGTTAATTTTACCTATATTAATTCAGATATGTGCTTAAGTGAAATATTAAAAATAAAATTGTGCTATTTGGGTTTTATTCTCCAATTGAAAGTTAATATTTTAAAGCCCTTTAAAATTTACTAAATCAGATATTTCTTAAGGCTGCCTTCATTTCTTTTTTCTTTTCTTTTTTTTTTTTTTAAAGATTTTATTTTTTTTAAGTAATCTCTACACTGAAGGTGGGGCTCAAACTCACAACCCCAAGGTCGAGTTGCATGCTCTTCTGACTGAGCCAGCCAGGTTTCCCAAGGCTGCCTTCATTTCATTGTTTTCATTAGCAATTACGGTTTCATAGTCTATAATTTTTTGTTACATTTTATTTTTATATCAAGTTTATTTTGGATAACTTAAAATTTATTTGTATAAGTTAAATTTTGCTTAATACATGGTAAATAAGTGAATAACTTCTATTTGTCTTTGAGAATGACAAACCACATTTTTATAAATTCTGAGGCACACAACTTGGTTATATTTTAACATTTCTGAAATCAGGATGTGAGTTATAATCCATAGCATGTCATGGTTTAAATGGCAGTTCTTTTCCCCCCCTAGTAGTACATAAAATAATGCTTATGATTAATGACATCATTAATTTGATGAAATATGGTAATTCATTTTTCTTAAGTCTTCCTGATTTTCCTTCTTTTTTTTTTTTTTTTAAAAGATTTTATTTATTAGAGCAGGAGAGAGCACAGTGGCGGGGAGGGGCAGAGGGTGAGGGAGAAGGCAACTCCCCACTGAGCAGGGAGCCGCATGTGTGGGGTCGATCACAGGACCTTGGGATCATGACCTGAGCATGGGCAGACACTTAACCCACAGAGCCATCCAGGTGCCCGCCTGATTTTTCCTTCTTAGTAATTTTTGCTTTTGACTTAAAGATAACTTTATGGAGATTTTGAGAAATGATTCTGTTAACAGGGTATGAGTAATTATAATTATGGTTTCTTAGCATTTATTTATTTTTTTAGAGGGGGAAGGGAGGAGGAAGAGGGGCAGAGTGAGAGGGAGAGAGAGAGAATCTTAAGCAGGCTTCACGCCCAGCCTGGAGCCCAGTGTGGGGCTTGATCTTATGACCACTTGAGCTGAATCAAGAGTCAGAGGCTTAACTGACTGAGCCATCCAGGTGCCCCTAGCATTTATATCTTTAAAGCAAATGTTATAAAAATTTTTATTTTATGAATTTTCAAATGTGAATTTTAAAAGAGGTTTTGAAGATTTACCTGTGAACAGCAAAGCTGTTCTAGATTTTAATATTAAGTAGTTAAATCCTTTTCAAATAAAGAGAAACAATTAAAATACAGTCTGGGTGACTGGGCGGTGCAGTCGGTTAAGTGCCTGATTTTGGTTTTGGCTCAGGTTGTGATCTCAGGGCTGTGAGATCAAGTCCCACATTGTGCCCTGTGCTGGGCACGGAATCTGCTTGGGATTCTCTCTCACTTTCCTTCTGCCCCTCCCCCTGTGCTCTTGTTCTCTCTCTGTCTCTCTCTAAAATAAATAAATCTTAAAAAAAAAAATACAGTCTAATTATTGGGTGCTTGCTCTAAGGTCTGAAGTCGAAACCATATAAAAAGAATGGATCCTTCTCCCTTCACCAGTCAACTCCTTTTCCTTTTCTTCATTGATAGTAATTATGTAAATAAAATTCATTCTTTTTCTTTTTTTTAGTAATTTCTTTTTAAAAAGATTTTATTTATTTATTTGAGAGAGAGAGAACACAGAGGGAGAGTGACAGGGAGAAGCAGACTCCCCACTGAGCAGGGAGTCCGATGTGGGGCTCTATCCCAGGACCCTGAGATCATGACCTGAGCTGAAGGCAGACACTTAGTCGACTGAGCCACCCTGGCACCCCAATAAAATTCATTCTTGATATCTTATCTACTGTTTTATATAGCTGCCTTTTTTTGTTTGTTTTTTTCCAAAGTGTTATAATTAGAAACTAATGCAGTAAAGCTACTGATTGGAGCCAGTCAGCTCATAGGATATAGCAGGGTTGGAATGTTTCAAATTCTGGGCCCCAGTTTTTCTGGATCACAACCTTGGTTTTCTTAATATACCTGTAGGTGATCATCTCCTTAGGAATTAGCTCAGATTAAGTAAACTACTAGAGTGCTCAGAATATGTCAGTTTTAGTTATAGTCAAAACCATCATTGCTATATATTTTTTCTTTGTAAACTACCTCAGAAATACATATATATTATGGAAACTAAAAACTGTCTAGTAAACTCTGCATTCCTGTAGCCTGGGCCGTGTATTTTCATTCCATCGAAAAACTGGCATGAGCAGTTAAAATGGGATTGAAGGATTGCCTGGTGATTGTGGAATTAAGTTGGATGGTTGTAGTAGCTGATTCCGTCCTGACTATGATAATAAGATTCATCCATCTCCACCAAAGTGAGGGAGACTTGTTCTGGTTCTCCAGATTCTGTTTGAGACACATTTCCCAATTTCATCTCTCTGAAGTTCCCTTGTCATAGATGTATGCAGACTTTGTCTGTCTGTTAATGTTCTTGACATTTCTACAAACCTCAAGTTACTGTACATTACATTTTGATTCTGCTAATTAGGTTGTCACAGTTTTAACTCTAACCTCAGTTTCCTGGGTACCTTGCTGTCAATTCTGTTCTGCCTCTAAAGAAGTTTTTCGGCTAGGTAAGAGGATAAGTAACCCAAACTATAGTGATGAATCTCATCAAAGTATACCAAAGAAAGTGGAAGTGCTTGGCTATAAATGGCCAGAAAGCCTTGGACTACTTATGGTCTGTGCCTTTGCACTGAGTCTTTATTTATGGCAAAAATGTAGCAATTCCTACTAGTTATTAATTGGAATGCTTAAGCCTGTATTATTCTGCCAGTCAGGAAAGACATTCCAGTATCCTGGAAGAGTATTTAAATGTCTCCTAGGACTGAAAACATATTTGGTAGGCTTGGTACCTGAGCTTACTATTGGGAAACAATTAGCTTTTAAATTTTACGTTTTCTACAGTCTTTTGAGTTTTTTTTTTTTTTTTCCATTTACTCTTTTTTTTTATTTTTTAATTTTTTTTTAAGATTTTATTTATTTATTTGAGACAGAGAGTATGAGAGACAGAGAGCATGAGAAGGAGGAGGGTCAGAGGGAGAAGCAGACTCCCTGCCGAGCAGGGAGCCCGATGCGGGACTCGATCCTGGGACTCCAGGATCATGACCTGAGCCGAAGGCAGTCGCTCAACGAACTGAGCCACCCAGGCGCCCTTTCCATTTACTCTTAAAGTTCTTATGTCCATATCTTGTCTCCAGTAATTTTAAGCTTAAATTTAAAACGTTTCAAGTGAAGTTTTCTTTAAAAAGAGAAACATTTAAAAATACTTGTTGGGTAAATGAGTTGCTTATACTCTTGTTTTATAAAAAAATATATATATACTAAATATCCACATTTTGTTTGTATGAGGCTCATTGCATTATCACTGCAGGGTATTGTCATTTTAGGAACCATTATTATATCAGATACTGATAGCCAATATAAATGTAATAGAACTTTTACTTCTCTAAGAGCTATGGTTTGTATATGTCCCCTAATTTTTTTATTTCTTTTTATTGTAGGAGCCTATGGAGTTGTACTTAAATGCAGACACAAGGCAAGTACATGGTTTTTAAAAAGAAAATAATGTGTATGTTTAACTGTTTAGAAACTAATGTATTGTTCTGTGCATGTGGGCATATAATTAAAACTGGCTACGATAATGATGCTTAATGAAGTAGAATGAACATGTGAACCTAGAAAAAGACTACTTTTGGACAAGTTTTATCATGATTAGGTAGTCATTAGTTATTTGCAGTCATGTGCTGTTTTTTCTCAACTGCCCTAGTATATAGGTGAAAAGCTTCCTAATGGGAAGAGAGAAAAGGTGATATAGAAGAAATCAAGGTAGTGAGAGATTTATGTTCAAGTACTTATGAGCAAGAAGACGTTTCATTCAGTCATTATTTTTCACGTAGACCCAATAACTTACAGTGCTTGGTAGATCTGAATCCAGATTTCGAAAGGTAGCAGATAGGTGTTTGGTTATGAAATAGGGCTTCAGATAATTGTGTATGATTATCATTATTGGTTGTAGTTGATCACCCTTGAGTAGCCTTGAAATGGATCTTACTATATAGATTATTTACTATACTATATAGTATAGATTATTTGACTGTTATCACCAATTATTCAGGGAAGTTATTTCAGGATTCCCATAGCTGTTGCTCAGTGATAAGCATGTTTTACTCAGAGACTAAGGTGGCAAGTGTTGCAGCTGTAAATTTTAAATGTTAGGTTAAATATTTTCATGTTATGGTATACCTAGTCTGAGTATTAGTATCTGGCCTCATGCTATTTTGTGTATAATTTTGTTAAGACCAAAGATTAAAGTTTTTTGTGATATTTTCTAATGGAATTATTTATATCTGAGATGAGTTTAAAAATTTAGCTCAAGACATAATTTAAACTCTCAAATCTATCATAACATATGTATGTGTATATATGCATAAATAAAGAAGATACCGTTTTTATGTTTTTTCTTTCCTCTTGTACAAAATAGTATGTTTTGGATATAAGGCTTCATGACAGTTGATGTATTTTTGGGTTTTAGATCATAAATCTCTTCAATTAATTTTCTATTCTTAAAATTGGGTGTTCAAAGTATCTATGTTGGTAATAGTTACCTGAAGATCTCTGCCAGTAAATCCTCAAAAAATGGTTTGAATACTGTGGTTATTGATTTAGGATGATTAAGAATTTAAAATAATAAATTAAACATAATCAAAATAAATTTAGCACCTTGAATACCTCATTAAGGAATATTACTGCAGTTGGAAATTAAACAAATGAAAAGCTCTCTAATGAATTGCTACACTGTTAATGAGTTGCCTTGAGTTATAATACATTTCTGAAGCTTTAAAAAAATAAAATTCCTTGGTGGATACTACTCAGGGGAAATAGGTTGTAAATTTGACTCTTTAAATAAACATAATACTTCCTTTTATACCATGGCTCTGTTTATGTAGCATAATAAACGGATGCTTCAGTTCTTAATCTTTGAGTTTTGAAATTGAAAGATTTCTGATACATAATGTAAATCTTCTAACAGTGTTTTCTCTCAGTCTTGTCCCACTTCTTCCTATGACTGTTTCCCCTATACTTTTTTTTTTGACCTTATCTAAGCTCTCTTTGTGTCTTTATGTAAAAATAAACTTTACTAGTTGAATATATTGTTTTTATCTTTCCCTGTGTCTGGTTTATTCATGTATGAAGATATGTTTGTTACCTGTACCTGGTTCTCATAATGCACACTGTTAATCCCAGCAAGATGGGCCCATAATGAAAGTAGATGAGAACAGGTTATCTCTGCTCTTCGGAAACCATCTCTAAACATGAACTCAGATTCCTAGGGCAGTTTGAGTTAAAAGGACGAATAAACCATAGTTTTCTTGCTCTTGTCTGGCTTACAGTCTGAAGAGGTAGAAGAGATATTTGATAAAATAACCCATGAGGTGGGGCACCTGGGTGGCTCAGTCATTAAGCGTTTGCCTTCGGCTCAGGTCATGATCCCAGGGTCCCGGGATCGAGCCCCGCATCGGGCTCCCTGCTCAGAGGAGAGCCTGCTTCTCCCTCTCCCACTTCCCCTGCTTGTGTTCCCTTTCTCTCTGTGTGTCTCTCTGTCAAATAAATAAAATCTTAAAAAAAAAAAATAACCCATGAGGTTGCTGCAAATGACATTGCATCTAAAAAATATCTCTTTTCACTGCCCTTCACTAAATAGGGGACTCACAGACCAGCTCTCCAAGTATTGTTGCTTTTTCCTTTACATGCATCTAAACAGATATTGCTGGATGGAAAATGTAAAGCTAAATTAGTGCCTACCTCAGAGTAATATAAAACTCTTTTTAGAATCTGAAACTGTTTAGTCATTAGACTTGTTAGAGATATATCCTCTTTTCAGCTAGAATCAGAGCTTCAGTGTTTTCCGCATTATCCAAAAAGGGAGAATTTGATGCTTCTAAGATTTACCCTTTGGGATCAAACAAATGGACTACTATGAAATCTCATGTTATATTTAAAAATGGATATAATCCTCCCTGTTGTACCCATGATATGTAAAATAATCATACCTATATATTTTGAATAGCTTTTATTTATTATTATTTTTTAAGATTTTATTTATTTGACAGAGAGAGACACAGCGAGAGAAGGAACACAAGCAGGGGGAGTGGGAGAGGGAGAAGCAAGCTTCCCACAGAACAGGTAACCCGATGTAGGGCTTGATCCCAGGACCCTGGGATCATGACTTGAGCCGAAGGCAGACGCTTAACGACTGAGCCACCCAGGCGCCCCTTGAATAGCTTTTAAAGACTTAATGAAACGCTTATAAAAATGTTTAAATCAGGTCTGTATGATTACGTATGCGTAGGTACGTGTGACCACTTATACATCAATTTGATCTCTTTTGGATAAGGTTAGCTGTGGGTGTATATATAATTAAATAATTCCTAGCGCATTATATATTTGAGCAAGTATGAAAGAAAGTTATTGTTTTAAATCATATACTGTTGCAAGAAATTTAGAGGTCATGTTTATAAACAAATGTATCTTGTCTATTGTGAACACAAAGTGGTATTGGGTTATTCTAGGCCAAAGACCATACTTATTAATTTTCTGAAACAAATGCTGAACAATTAAAAAAGAAATACATAACTGTACTCTCTTTTTCACAGCTTCTGTTTATTGTATATATGCACATTGGCATATATATGAAAATTCTTAGTACTAAGTGTTAAGCTACTTACGGCACCTTAGGACTACTCACATTTGGAAGAAGTTCTCATTTGGACCTTTACTCTCCAGATATGCATTGCTGGTTCTCTTTTTATTTGCATGTCTGCTTTGAAGTGCTTATGCTTATTTTACAGCATACTTTTCTTTGCAGAAACTCAGAGAGGTCATCCTTACAACAAAGTAGGGCAAATGGAATGTAGTGACATAGGGAGATGTGATTAGAACTGGAGACAAGGCTTTGTGCAGCCTGATTGAGAGAGGTTGGGAGGCAATGCTAATTGATCCTAGGACAAGGAAGTGGTGATTCATGTATTTCCTTTCCTGTGGCTGAGGTTGACATATGAGAAATTTTTGTTTGTTTTGAAGTGGTAGGTGACATATAGCTAATTACACAAAGGCATGAAGAATCCAGCATTGGGGTAGAGCGTAGAAGTATTTAATACATAATAAAGTTGACTTAAATTATAGAACCAAAAATGAACACCACTGTAGAGAGCTATTGTAGAGTACCAGGTCCCTGTGGAAGGATTAGAGATGATCCCAGGGGTTTGTGCTAAACTGAAAAATCACTGCTATTATTTATATGACTTACAAACTTATAAAGGGTATGTAAGTTTTGGGGGAGAAATAATGAGTTTGGCTTTCATAAAAAAGAATAAAATGGCAGCAGAATACCAAACCTGATAATAAATACCACATATTGAGCATCTAACGTATGCCAGTTAAGTCTGCTAGATGTTGTCCATTTACTACTCACAACAGCCCTACTCTTACACCGTTTTACAGATAAGAAAGTGGAGTCATTAGAGAGGTTCTATGTTAGGGCCAAGATTATGCAGCTAAGAAGTGGTGGAACCAGGCTTCGTCTGATGCCAGAAATCACTAACTTGAGCATAACTGTGAAATGTTATGGACCTTCCAAGGGGGGGTGCAGAGCAGAGTTAAGGGCATGCCTTAAATAGTCGTACTGAAAGGAGTGGGAGGCAGACATCTAGAAAGCAAAGAAGAAAGATTTTTAAAAATGGTACTCACCAACAGTGTAAAAATCCATAAAAAGATCCATGATGATAAGGATTGAGGGATGAGAAAACCCATTTCATTTAATATTGTCATTTATTGATGACCCCTTTAAGTGAAATGGTACATTGAATGCCAAATTGCAGGAGGTTAAGGAGAGAGCAGGTTGAGAAAATCCAGATTGTGCCATTTTTCTCTTTTGAGAGTTGAGAAATTGAGATTGAGAATAGTAGGAGGAATAGATGTGATTAAATATTCACTAGTCAGGAATACCCATATTTTGCCCCACTAAAAGGCATTCTTGGGTTATTAATCACTTATTATGCACAATTTATCTTTTGCTATAAGCGTTCATTTTTAGCATGCATTATATATTTTGAATTACTGATTCCTGTTTTTCTTTTTCAGATTAATTTTGTTTTCTACAAAAAAGCTGAATGGTGATTCGGTCATTTTTAAAAATAAAAAACAACTATTTTAAGCAGATACTTGAGGGAAAAGTCAGTGAACCATCACCAGTTTAACAGATTATTTATAGTGTGCCATCTAAAATGGTAGTTATTTTCTACTAAAAATAAACGTTGTTTCAGCTTTTTTCCACATTATATGAAAGAAGCCTTAAAAATTTTTTTTAGATTTAAGTTTTACAAGTGAATTGAGCTTTTAAAACACAACTTAAAAGAGATGAATCAACAATGGCAAACTGAATATATGGGATTAATTATATTATTTTCTTTGTCATTACTTTCCTCCTTATTTAAATATAAGTAGGATGTGGATTCCTGCTTCTTGTGTACAAAATTT